GAGTAATCCTAATAAAAAAAAAAATCACAGGTATATAACAGAAATATACCAGTTGGTTCTAAAATTTATATAGAAATACAAAGGCCCGTGAATATCTGAGACATTCATAAAGAAGAACATATGTTTACTTTAAAGTTCTAGTATTTAATACAAAGTTGTTTTCCCCTCCCCCCCAAAAAAGACAAATAGTCATATATGAAAGAAACTAGAAACAGACCCACACATATATGGACACATTATGTATATGGACAAAGATGGTATATCAGAGCAATGGGGAAATGATGAACTCTTTAGTTAAGGATACTTAGACAACTGGTTATCCATATGAAAAGTTCCCTATCCCTCACATTATACACAATCAATTTCCAAGTAAATTATACATCTGAATGTGAAAAATAAAGAATTAAAGCTTCAAATAGACAACACAGCAAAAATGTCTTCATGACCTCCAGAGGAAAATTATTCTTCAACACAAAAGGTACTAATTGTAACAAGAAAGATGAATAAATTTGACTCTAGTAAAGATAGAAAATTCTGCTCATCAAATGACATCAATTAAGACAATGAGAGGAGGAAATATTTGCTATAGGTAGTTAGGTATATAGCTAGATAGGCAGGGAGATAAGAAAGAAATAATTTTTATCTTATATATAAACAACAAAACATTAAGAAAATCAACTAACTAAACAGAAAATATGCAAAAAGCCTTAAGCAAGTATTTCACACATACACAAAAAATTTAAATGGCCAATAAACATAGCAGCAGGTGCTCAACCAAATTAATCATCAGGAAAATGCAAATTAAAACCATAAAGAGAGCAATATATACCTCAAAGATCAGCTAAGCTGAAGAATCTATTGATACCAAGTGTTGCCACACAAATTCAGTGTGATAGAAATACTCATACAATGACCCTAGGAAGTATAACTAAGGAGCGTTTGTACATAACTTGACTCATCCTTTCCACTTCTACATACATCCCATACAGATATATATGCTAATATATATATATCTGGTTACATATATAAGATAGTAAGCAGCCTTTAGAAAATAGTCAGAAACCAAAAACTCAATAGTCCATCAGCAACAAAAATGGGGTATATTCATTTAATAGAATACAACAAAAACAAATCAAATACAGCCATATACAACAATATGAATGAAGCTTAACATTGAGCCAAAGACAACAATAACAAAATATATCTACAGAAGTGTATTTATGTAATATAAAAAAAAACACACAGTGAAACATAAATACTTAAGCATCAAAACAATAAAGAAAAACAGAAGGTTTCTCTCTCATTGATGTTTCTGACTTTTTACCTCTCTTCCTTCCTCTCTGTAAAAAATTAATAAAATATAAAATAAAAAAAAGGTTAAGTATGGTCCTGGCCAGGTGGCTCACTCAGTTGGTTGGACCATTGTCCTATACACCAAAAGGTTTTGGACTCCATTCAAGTCCAGGAGTGTTCGGGAGGCAACCAATCAATGTTTCTCTGTTTTTCTCTCTCTCCCCACATCTCCCTCTTTTTTCCTCTTTCTAAACATATCCTTGGGTAAAGAAGGAGGGAGGGAAAAGAGGGAAAAAGGAAAGGGAAAGGAGGGAGGGGAAAAGGAAGGAATGAATGAATAAATAAGAAACACAAATTTTAAAAATCTGAATGCTAATCTTAGGAAAATAAGTTCAAAAGCAGTACTTTGCCTCCTAATCATTCTGTATTTTTACTTAAGTCCAAATATAAATTATACTATAAGAGATAAGACTTTTTATAATTATATTCATTTTGAGGATTAAATATGAACATATACTTTATAATATATGCAAAAATATAACCAATCACTTTATTCCATCTTCACTAAATCTTGAAGTATATTATATTTTCTAGACTAAAGTTTATTATGATTACAAATCATTACTTCAATCATGAAGAAATTTATGAAATATAAATCTAAGTAACAGGTAAACTTTTTAAAGTATGTTAACCTAGCTTCAAATTTTCAAATGTTTAAAATTTTGTCAACCTAGCTCCTCAAAGTCCCATGTGTAATTAAACTTGAAATACTCGAAAATCACTGAATGATGGCTATACTGAACACAAGAAAACCAAAAATGTATTATTTACAATATAATCTGTATACAGAAGAGGCACCAATATTCAGAAGTACCTGGAACTACAGTAGTATGTACTTGGTTAAACTGCTTACCATGATAAAATACGGACCAAGGAAAACCACAATGAATCATTCAAATGAATCATTTGAATTGTTAAGCTGAAAAATTCTAAAACACTATTACTCCAGACATTTAATAACAAAAATAGAGAAACCCCAAATTAGAGAGAAGACAAATGAGGATCACAAGAAAGAATTATTGTTAAAAACCAATTATTGTTAAAAACCAATTCTCCATTGATCTCTCACATCACTGCTCATCTTGTGATAGGTACTGTTCTAAATATCTTTTCAATTATGTATAAAGCATGTCCTGTCAAGACAGAAACAGTGCTTCTTCCAGGAAACAGGTCAAATTTAGTTTCTGATCAATATAATAAGAAGTGTGTCCCTGCATCAAGGTTGGACAGGTTTGCTAAAAGACCCATTTAAAAAGACTGGGGTATCCTAAGTTCAGGGTTCCTTAGTTGTAATATAAATCCATGTATGTACAGTGTCAACTGGATCCATCTCTACATTGCCCGTATAGAACTTGGGGGTCACAAGAAACTGATGCAAACACGAGGCTGACACTGTCAGATTGATATAATTAAGTCCTTTATCTCCAACCCAGGAGTCACACATCTGCTGCAAGTGTCTATAAACTGTGGCAGGCTAACTTGTTAACTTGCTAGTACTCTCAGAACTCTTACAGCATTTTTAACATTATGCTATGTTCTCACTACTTGAAACAATTTCAAATCTAACAATTTATTGTAAGCATTAATAGACCCCTAGAGAAGCACTAAGAAACCTCAGGGGCTAATGAAAACTTTAAATAAGGCAGGATACAGACAATGACCAGCCATTTCGTTTAACCCCAGATACTTAACTGATTCATTTAGTCATTCATTATCAGGCAATTTCCTATGTACTGAATCTCAGTTTCAATAAGTTCAAAGTCTAAGCAAAAAGAAACATGTACAACTACTGCAAAACAATTGCACACTCTATTTTAAAAGTAGGGTATTGTATGGAATATGAAAATGTATCACTCTTTCAAAGAATTTTCTATAGAAAAAATGTTGAGTGTACATATTCAGTTAATAATTTTATTTCATATATTATAAAATTTTCAACTTTGTTATTCAAAGTGTGGTCCAAGGACCAAGAGCATGATCAACTGAAGTTTGCTAGAAATGTGGATTACCAAAATCTGACACACACGCCCGTAATCAGAACTTGAATTCTAAGATCCTCACACATATTAAAGTTTAAAGTACCCAGAAAAAAAAGGAAATATAAATCTTAAATTTATAATGAAGATAGTGTTTTTGATAACAGACATATTAAAATAAAAATTGTTAACAAAAGTTAAGGATAAGAAAAATGCAGTCATAAATCATGTAAAAATAATAAGCTATAAACACTAGTATAATACAAAGATTTTATCTAAAAAGCTTAAAATACACATCATGAATAATCATAAAAGGGGAGTTATCAAATTAAGATAAGGTTCTGGCAATGCACACTAAAGTATTTCATCAAAATAGAGACATTTCTCATCTTTTAATTTTCAAAAATAAAAGATAGCCGAGGACCTAGCACATAATAGGTGGTCGTATTTCTTAATGAGTAAAAAATATCCTAATTAAACAACTCAAAATAAAAATACATGAGATTTGAGATAGAAATTTAAATATAACAGAAACCGGTTTGGCTCAGTGGTAGAGCGTCGGTCTGCGGACTGAAAGGTCCCAGGTTCGATTCCGGTCAAGGGCATGTACGTTGGTTGCGGGCACATCCCCGGTACGGAGTGTGCAAGAGGCAGCTGGTCAATGTTTCTCTCTCATCGATGTTTCAAGCTCTCTATCTCTCTCCCTTTCTCTCTGTAAAAAATCAATAAAATATATTTTTTTTAAAAAAGAAATTTAAATATAAAGCAACTTTAAAAGTTATATAGCATGCTACAAAGAATAATCTATTGTTTAATCAGGATGGTAGTACATGGATGATCACATTCTAACCTAAAATGCTAAATTTTGCATTTGATTTTTCTATACTTAGTACAAGTGTGATATGACTAAGGAATTTTATAAATGTTAAATTGGAACATTCCAGTTATAAAATTGTTCATAAAAATTATCTTCTAGCTATCCTGCATGACTTACATCTTGTAAGTTCTAAAAAGGTAGCTGTTTTTACTTGTTTTTACCCCATTATGCATTTTTATCATTATAAAAATTGTAACCCTTTCTACCTAAGGTTCTATTTCCTAAATTTTCTTTCAGGGTGAAGGATGGGCTATCATTCAAGAATTCTATTTTATATTATTCACAGCTTTGAGGTAACTCACTGCATGCAATCCTATATACATTTCCAAAAAAGCGATTTTTTATTTATTTATTTATTATATATTTATGTATTTATTTATTTTTTTAAATATATTTTATTGATTTTGTACAGAGAGGAAGAAAGAGAGATAGAGAGTTAGAAACATCGATGAGAGAGAGTCATCGATCAGCCGCCTCTTGCACACCCTCTACTGGGGATATGCCCGCAACCAAGGTACATGCCCTTGACCGGAATCGAACCCGGGACCCTTCAGTCCCCAAGCTGACGCTCTATCCATTGAGCCAATCCGGTTTTGGCCAAAAAAGCGATTTTTTAAAGAATCAAGTTGTAAAGATAAAATAAGTTAAAATAACAAAGCTTAAGAAAACTCAAATTCTTTTTAAATATAAAAAAAAAAAAATTAACCTGGTATGCCTTTACAAAAATGGGGGAGAAATGGGAATAGTCAACAACAGTAAATAAAACATTATGTAAAATACGCAAAATAATATACCTCTCTCTTATTTCTTCTTGCAACCTTGAGGAATTCCATAAGGATCTGTAGTTGGGCTGCATGTGATTCCTATAATAGAAAATTATAATTGTTCTTATAAAAATATAACTATGAGTTCAACCTTTTCTCTAATACCACAATATAATCAGTAGGAAACAACTTAATGCATCCATTTAAGTCAGTCTATTACTTCTATTTAGTTTTCCCATTTGCTAATTGGGAAATTTTAAAAAGCAAACTATTTTCCCCAAAACTAAAACTAATTTTAAGAAAAAGATGCCTTAAATATATTCCTCATCTATCTTGCAAAAAAACTACTCATGGTAATTAGCAATTTTGCTATCTATCTTGCCTTTCTATTTCCAATCATACCAATACATCATTAAGGAAAAAATCATGATAAAATTGACAGAAAAGAAATTCTATACACTAATATCACTTTCCCCGTAAGAATTTCATTTGCAGGGAAGTAAAAAGCATGATAAATGAAAAGAAATCCGTATTATCAGAAGTAAAATTTACTATTTCTGATTATTACTTACTCACAGATGTGACAATTAATACAGTTTTATATAAGATATCAGTCAAAATCAAACACTTAAAAACAAAAATTTAATATAATCAAGTGAAGGAAGGGGTAAATAACCCAACTTGGTAACAAACAAAAATGTAACAGATAAATGATTATTATAAATAAGCTTAACATTTTCTGGGTATCAAAAAATACAATTACAAAAAATATATTTTTTAATGTTAAAATTCACATAAAGCATTAAGGAATTGCAAGTGAATCAATAAATATATGTAAAAAGAAAATCAAAATGGAATTGCAATGAGATAGTTTATGAACAAATATAATTTTTCATATATATTTGAAAAATAGAATAAAAATGCCAGTGGAACACTATCAAAACAAACAAAAATAAATAAATAAGAGAAATTACCAGTTAATTGCCATGCGTCCAAAACGTAAATCATACCTCTTGCCTCTACAGACACTTATGGCATACAAAGGGTTAATAAAACTTGCATTTACCTGGCTATGCAATAGAATCATAGGAGCCGGTTGTTAAAATAAACACTGGGGCAGGTTTTATCTGATTCTATTACTCTAGAAAAGATTCTAGGAACACGTGTGTTTAACAATTCCCCAGATGATAAAATAAACCCATCAAAATTTGAAGAATCACTAAGATATTACATTTAATACAAAAGAGCATGGCCACTTCACCTCCATTCCAGGGGATATATTTTTTTAAAAACATTTTAAAGAATAAGAAGCAAATAGTTCAATGAAATGTTTAAGCCAAGAAAAGTAAGGACAAAGGAGGCAAATCTGAACTGAAAATCACATTAGGATTTTCCAATTAACAAACACAACTGAATTAATGTATCACAACTAAATAAGTGTGCTCTCCCTCCTGGGACCAGGCCACACCTTTCTCTTTCTCTCCTTTTCCCCCCACACAGGATGTATCTCCTAAACTCTAATGGATCCAACGAGACTTGCGATCAGGGGAGCAATGGGCAGAGGCAGCTCATCCTGGGATAACCCTAAATCTGTCCCCAAACTCCCCTTTTCTCTGACCCTCCAGTGAATTGACAGCAGCCCCACCTTGGTTCACTTCTTTCCCATAATGTCTCTTGAGAGCTAAAGCAGTCCTTCCTCATCTCTCCTCGTTGCTTTTCTGTCCTAAGTTCTTTCTTGTTTCACTGTCCCGTTTTAATAAATATACTCTCAAAATAAAAATAAATGAATACATACATCTGTAAAGCATGGTGTGATGAGATTTTAAAGTGAAGTTTTTTCTTGAATAACAAACTGGCATTTATTGAACCTGAGACACATTCCTGAGAAGTTAAACTATCCCAAAGAACAAACAGGGGCTCTGTGTCCCAACAATATGACAATGTATCCCAGGATTCATTGGTACTATTTCTTAGGACTCTTCACACTGATTATTTATAACTGGCTCCAAATTATTAATGGCTAGAGAGCCAAGATCACATCTTTATACAAAGAACATGCACAATCAAGACTGTTGATAAAGAATACAGTTCATTTGCAAAGAAAATGTACAAATTATCATCAAAATAGTAAGTTTTTCAAGCCAGTAAGTTTGAATACTTCATTTTTGTCTACAACTAGGACATGTAAATAGATTAAGAATGCTATTGATTTGTAGAAAAGGGGGAGAGCATCCTAAGTTTTATGGTAAAAACAACAACACTTTTCCTTTGATCCTGGAATATCATTTGACTTTTTAAATTAGGAGTACTATTTATTACTTTGATTTTAAAACAAGGAAAGAGGAAAGAAAAGCAAGAGAAGGAGGAGGTGGGGTAGACAGAAGAGAAGACAAAAAACAAGGTAAGACTTGACTTTTCAGGTATTAGAGAAAGGATTCTAACCTAAAAATAATGTAAAACTTTGAGTGCTTCTCCTACTTGGCTTAAGTCCCTATCTATAAAATAAGTAGGTAACATTTTACAAATGAAGAGTCATTTTGCCATGTCTTATGTAATTGTTACTATGATTTAGGTGGTAATTTTCTCTATATCAATACATTCTTTTCCTTAAATCTACTGTCAATAAAATGCTAAAAGATATGCACTTCTGGTAGCATATGCACTTTTGGTACCATAGATTAACTACAACCACCTTCAGAACAAGGAATATTTTAAGTGATAATGAAATACAATTCATAATGATAAATGGAACAATTCATCCAGAAGACAAAGCAATCCTAGACATGTATATATTTTTTGGGACACCTGCACCTAATAAGGAGCTTTAAAATACATGAAGCAAAAACCACAGAAAACAATGAAAAATGGACAATCTAAAATATATTTTTAACATATCCTTATCAGTAACTGACAGAACTAGGAGGGGAAAAGATTTGAATAATATTAACAAACTACATAATCAATTTTATAAAAGCATTACAATAAAGAGCAATGCTGTTTTCAAATGCAAGTTATCATTTAACGAAATAGACCATATACCATATACCATATAATGAAAATCACAATATTTCAACAGACCAGCCCTAGCTGGTTTGGCTCAGTGGATGGAGCATTGGTCTAAAGACTGAGGGGTCCTACATTCGATTCTGGTCAAGGGCACATGATCAGGTTTTGGGCTCAATCCCCAGTGTGGAGCATGCTGGAGGCAGCTGAACAATGATTCTCTATCATCATTGATGTTCCAATCTCTCCCTTTCCCTTCCTCTCTGAATCAATAAAAACATATTTAAAAAAAAAAAAATTTTTTTTTCAACAGACCAAAAGCATACAAATTTAACTTCTACAACTAGATAAAGTGTAGTGAGAAATACAGAATGCACACTCCTCCTTAAACAACAAAACAGCATGCTGGATATGAAACAATGGCTCTCAGACAAAAAAACAGAAATGTTACATTTTCCCAGGAGCCAGAGTAGAAAAACCTTGAAATACACAGGCAGCAGGTAGATTTCTCAAAAAGTTACCTCAATTAGTGGGGCAAATTAACCTAGACAAATTATCTATTCTGATCCAAACTAACAAAACTAAAAAAAAAAAAAAAAAAAAAAACTAAAAAAAACAAAACAAGCTTCTACACAGCAGAAAAAATGATTAAAAAAAAAAAAAAAAAAAAAAAACTTGCCAAAACCGGTTTGGCTCAGTGATAGAGCGTCGGTCTGCGGACTGAAAGGTCCCAGGTTCGATTCCGGTCAAGGGCATGTACCTTGGTTGTGGGCACATCCCCAATAAGGGGGTGTGCAGGAGGCAGCTGGTCGATGTTTCTCTCTCATCGATATTTCTAGCTCTCTATCTCTCTTCCTTCCTCTCTGTAAAAAAATCAATAAAATATATTAAAAAATAAAAAAAAACTTAAGTTGGAACTACAAGTGAACCTATCATTTACCATGCGATAAAAATCTTAAAAAAGACAATCATACCTTTCTCTCTCTCTCTCTCTCTCTCTCTCTCTCTCTCTCTCTCTGTCTCTCTCTCTCACACAAACACAGAAGCCCAAAAGACAGATTTTCAACATTCAAGTGCCTGATCTTATTTCTATATAGTCACCAGAGAAGCCATGGTTCCAATCTTTCTAATGTTTGGTTGATAAGCATTTCCTTCTTATGTATATGAGCTACTCACTCCCTTATCTTATTAATAAATATCTGCTTCTTATTTAAACTAGGTCAGCATGGGGATTTATTTGCTTAAGGGGTGCAGTGCTTATGTGATGAATCATATTCAATTCCTAATACATGCAAACTCACATTTTACATTTTTACATGAAATAAATGCAATTTTATTATTTACATTTGATTACATCAGACTGGATATATTCAGTTCCAGTTCCCATCCTTTTAAATGCCCTTAATTAAGCAATAGATTACTGTTCTACCAATGGACACCTTTCAGAGGACTTTATGTATATAAAAATAATCTCTATTTTCTCCTTCAAATCTTGTATGTAAAGAGGGGACAATATGCAAAGAAGAAAGACAAACAATTGTTACTTATTAAAATAAAATTGTACTTTCTCATGATCTTAACACTCAGCTTTTGTTAATACAAACTGGCCGCTCTAAGTTTTATTACAAGCATTTTGTTCTTTTATTTGAAAAAGGAGAATCTGTTATTAGTGACACCTTGAAGATGTTTCCTGCTGAATAAAATTGGATGGATTAAGTGACACTACCCTGCTATTTATAAACATTTCTATATCTTTTACAATGCAATAAACAGCACAATTTAAATCAATGTTTTTTTAAGTTCAGCTATGACTTACTGCTTCCAGTTGTTTCTTCTTCTGTACTAGTAATTCCAACATGAGATTGACATTTGCCAAGTCAAGGTTATCTTGGTCAGTTCCCAGTAAATCTTGAAAGATTTGCCACCTATGGCCATTCTAAAAATGAAGAAAAGAAACACAATAACTTTCTAAGGAGAGTGCTTTGTATCTAAAACAAATGTTTATCTGCTACTTCCTAATATTTATTACACAGATAACAAAAATCCTATATAATAAAAGCCTAGTATGCTTATCTACCGATTGGCAGAACAATTGGTCACTATGAGGAGCACTGACCACCAGGGGGCAGATGCTCAACACAGGAGTTGCCCGGAGCCGTCAGGCCCCAGGCCAGTCAAGGCGGGTACCAGCAGGGGTCACCCCCCCATACCAATTTTCCCACCTATTGCCCTACAAAGGGAGGCAACCAGCAGGAGGGGCAGGCTAGCAAGCAGGCGAGCAAGCGGGTGGCACCAGGCAGCCCAGGCAGGTGCCAAGAGGGGGCCCCACTGATTGCCCTGCTGGCCTAGGGACCCTACCCGTTCACAAATTTCGTGCACCAGGCCTCTAGTACACTATAATGTTCCAACCCATTATTTCCCAGCTAGTGGCTTCCCACTGCCTTCTCGTGATCATTTAAACACTCTTTTCCCCTTAAACTTATTCGGATAACAGATATGAAAGGCATATTCAAGAGAAATGTTGAGTCAGTGTCTCTAAAGGTGTAATTCCCTTTAGAATAAGTACCTGAGTTTTAATTCTTTTTCTAGCAATATTTTCAACTTTGTATTTAGTTGTAAGGTCTTAATTTAAGCTGACCTGCCTCAATAATTTGGGGTTAATCCTCTTATATTGAGACTCTTTCAGCAGTTTTTCCCAAATTATCACACATAGTAGTTTTACCATGCCATATCATCTTTCAACTGTCATATATTGCAAGCAAACAATCTAAATGTAATCCCATCAGACCTTCCAAAAGATGATCAGTAAATTCTAAATAATGCAGTTAAAGTTCTTTATTGAACAAAACAATCATAAACAAATTTCCTTTAAGAAAAATCAACAATAAATAAAATTTGAATATCTAATATTAAAACAATAAAAACTGATTTAAAATTTATTAAAAATAGTAATAAGAGTTGAAACATACGGTGCTACTCACTGAGTGGTCCAATTTGAACCTCTTTTCCTCAAACCTTTGCTTCTGTTTGAGAATGAGCTCATTCACTGAAAATAAAAACAAAACAAGAAACACACAGGATTGTGTTAAAGACATCATCTAATTGTTCTGTTAAGATGAATTGTATTTTAAGTTTAAAAAGCTCCAAATTAAAATGATGCCATTCAGGAATTTTGAAATAAAAACAGTTTCGTCACAGGCTACTCCTGGTAAAACTATTACTATTATTACTACTACTACAATTACTACAGGAGAAGAATTCTCAGAATACATAGTACCTATTCTTACACATTTCAATAATGACACTGCTGACACTTGGAGACAATTCTTCACTGTGTAAGACTGTACCATGCTCCCCATAGTAACTGGTTGAGTCTATGAGGTGGCACCAAAGAGTTGTATTTTTTCTTTTTGTTTTTTGACTCTTCTATAAATATCCTGGCACACAGAATGATATCTGGAACTGCTTAGAACCATGCTGCAGTCTTGAGGGGATCTAGTCTAAAACCAATACATATGCTGGGGATGGAGGAACAAAAAGATGGAAAGAACTTGATAATATTATAGAACCACAGGATTAACTAGTTCTAGAAATTCTTTTTATGGGAATCAATGCATTTTCCTTAATGGTTAAGCCACTTTTAATTGGATTGTTCTGTCTTTAACAGCTAGCTAATTTTTAAAAAATGATAAAGGAAAACTAGCACTAGGCTAGGTAGGTACTTTAACTTACAGCCATTATCCCATTGGTTGTTCTTCCCATTTAGAGATGAGGGAATATTAGAGATCATGACACAGTACATGAGAGGGTTGGGAAACAAACCCAATTATCTAAAATTTCCACTACAACACAATCCAACCACAAATATTTTCTAACAAACAGAGAGGTTTCAAGCCACACTAGATATTCAATCTTCAAAGGTGAGTGAGACTAAAGAAAGTAACATTCAATCCAAGACTCAAGTAGCTCAGAGTAGGAAGACAAATATATATATATGATGCAGTAGTTGTAGCATAATGTAAAAAAATCAGTGTTATCATTGAAACAGATTTACAAAGAACACAGGAAGAGTAATCAAAATTTAAGAAATAGGCTTCCAGTTGAAGGAGATATTAGAACTGAGCCAAAACAGGAACCCAGAGATTAACTAAGTGGGAAAAAATTCAGATAGAGGAGGGGGAGGTAAGGGTCAAAGTCAAAAGACAGCAGAAGATAAAGTGTTGGCTGAAACACAGGGTCACAGTGATTTTGTTAATAATTAACAGGGACTAAGAACTAAGATTGAAAATGTAGCTAGATTGGACCCATATTCTGAAGAGCCTGATATGTATCTCACAAGAAATCATTATAACCAAAGGAAGATAAAAAAGAGAGCTTGAAATAATGTAGTACTGGGAATAAAGTATGTAAAGAAGTATGTAAATAAGAATTTAATGTTTCAGTTATAATTACCCATTGGAATAAAAAATGGGTTAAATACTTGTAATATTTTACATATATATTACATTGCATTTGACCAAGAAATCTCATATACACTGAAACTGAAGGATAATCTATATTCATAATTATAATTTTATGGATCCTTAAAACACCCATAGTACTAAGAACAAACAATGCATTTCTACTGCTAAATTTTACTTTTTAGCAACTGTCTTTTTAAATGCAGGATAGTGTAGTAAAAGCACAGACACTTGAGCCAGACTGCTTAGGACCAAATCCCAATTCTGCCACTTACTGGCTGAATAACTTTTATACAGTTAAATACTGCCTTACTTTCTTCACCTGAGGAATGAAGATGATAAGTGATAATTTAGTGAGTTAACATAAAGTACTTAGGACAGTATCTAGCAGTAGTAAGGAAGTAAAATGCATTAGCTACTTTTAAAAAAAACAACAACACAGGAATTTTAAACTTTGCATTCATGTTGTTCTTTCCTTTAAAAAGAGGGCCATTCATTAGGAAGATTTAAAAATTAATTTACAATTTTTATCTATAGAAAGAGGAAACTAGAAGAGAGAAAGGAGGGAAAGAGGAAGGGAGAGGGAGAGGAAGAGGAAGAAAGAGAAAGAGACAGAGAGAAAGGATGGGGCAGCTAAAGAGAGATCTTGCACAGGAAAGAATAGGGAGACTAGAGAGCAAACCTTGCAGGAATGGAGGAGAACAATTGCAGAACTGCAGAAGTGGAACAGTTGGATGAGACACTGCCACCCAATCCCTTGATCCTACAGAGCCTTCCAGGATCAAGAGAGAGAACTCTGAAAGCTGAAGCAATGTAAGTGAATAATTTAAAAGAATTTTTCAATATAGAAAACAACAACAATAAGTAGTATTCTACTTTAGAAAGAGATCTCAGTGGTATCCTGAGTGCATAAGAAATATAATCCCTATTTACTTATTGTGAGGAAACCTAAGAGTCTGACCATCACTATACAAAGGTAAAGGCTGAAGATGTGCAGAAAAACAAAAATAGATATATCAGGACAAAATGTTATTTCCATGGCTGACATAAAAAATCTCATTGGAAGCTTCACTATAATTAAGGCTTCAAAAATACTTACATTCCAATTACCCAAATTAAAAAATTTCTCTCCATAAAAAGCATTTAAAAACTGTTATCATCACCAGAATAATTTCTAGCTTAGAAAATCAGTAACTTTGACTTCAATATTCACTAGTGAACACACACACACTAATATATAGTACACTGTATTTATAATATGAAATTACTTTCCAACATTTTTACAGTCCTTCCATACTGGTGTATAGCATATTTTCTCTCTCTCTTTCTCTCTCTCTCTCTTTCTCTCTCTCTGTCTCTCTCTCTCTTCACTTAGAAAGTCACATAACAGAATTTCTAACTTATGGACTTACTATGCTTAAAAAATTTAGTAAATCTCCAGATTTTCAGAACATTTGATTCCCTTCCATATGTAACCATTTCAAAAGAAGTAGTTTTCCAAAGTCATGCAACTGATAGAAAAGTGATTCTAGAGCCCACACAGCAGCATTAATCCAAGTTCAGGAGCAAGGCTTTCTGCTTTGAAGGATTTTGTTTTCCCTTTTATTTAACTAGCCATTTAAGTCCAGTCTCACAGAATATCAAACCACTTATATTTCCTCATTTCCTAAATTCCTTCTCCAAGTTTATCATAAAACTTTATGTTGCAGAATTTGATATTTCAACAGAAAACCTTCACAATATTTCTTCCAAGTTTCCTTTCTGCTGTGAAATCATCTAATCATTTTCCTTAATGAAAAAACAAAACAAAACTGAATTGGAGAGAGAAAAACAGATTGTAGCCAATGGAATTTTAGAGCAAATGTAAAAACAAAAGCCATAGCTGAAAAGTTTCAAATTCATGGTTTATTATAAACCAGCATTTGAGCTGAGAAAATCAAACTGCAACTGAAGCACTAGCAGTCAGAATCCAACTAATAGACGAGTAAATATGCAAATTAACCATCACTCCACTGCAAAACATGCCCATCAGCCACACCTACCAGCCCATCAGAGCAAGTATGCAAATAAACCCAACCAAAATGGCTACCGGCCACAGAGAGCAGGAGGGAGGCTTGGGTTTCCAGGCAACGGCAGAAACCAAGCTTTCTGCCTGTCCTTGCCGGCGTTTCAGTTGGAGAAGGTAAATAAATTCCAAATACCAGGGTCTCTGCTTGGGTCGCCATGGGCATGGCCAGCCTGCAAACCACCACAGGCCCCTCACTCAGACCGACCAAAGCCCGAAGGGAACCTCCACCCTGATCTGGGATACCCTTTAGGGCAAATCAGCTGGTCCCCACCCATGCACCAGGCCTCTATCCTATCTAATAAAATAATATGCAAATTGACCATCACTCCAACACACAATAGCTGCCCCCAAGGGGACACAAGATGGCCGCCACATGATGGCCAGAGGGGGAGGGCAGTTGCAAGGCACCAGGCCTGCAAGGGAGGGCAGTTGAGAGAGACCAGACCTGCAAGGAAGGGCAGTTGGAGGGTATCAACCCTGCAGGGGAGGGCAGTTAGGGCTGACCGGGTCAGCAGAGGAGGAAAGTTGGGGGCAAACAGGCTGGCAGGGAAGCAGTCAGACATCAATCAGGCTGGCATGGGAGTGGTTAGGGGGTGATCAGGCTCACAGACAGAAGTGGTTAGGGGCAATCAGGAAGGCAGGCAGGTGAGCAGTTGGGAGTCAGCTGTCCTGGATTGTGAGAGGGATGTCCGACTGTCAGTTTAGGTATGATCCCACTGGGGATCAGGTCTAAACAGGCAGTCAGACATCCCTCGAGGGGTCCCAGATTGGAGAGTATGAAGGCTGGGCTGAGAGACACCCCTCCTCCCCCCAACCTGAGCATGAATTTCATGCACTGAGCCAATAGTCTAATATACTAGTACAAGTAAACATCACATTCTAACTCTGAATATGTTACTCCTTAGAATGAAGAATTAAATTTTTTAACAAACATATCCAGTAATACTCTACTTCATATCTAAAAATTAACCTTCATTCCTAAAAACACAATATAAAGATTTCTAACAAATCTTAGGCTATTCAATAAGTAGAATTTTTAGATATTTACAAATATCTTGATAATAATATCTTATCTCTGACTAGATATTATTATCAACCATTTACTATTTGCCCAAAGGGTTTTCTATTTTGTCTCTCTTCTCCAGCTATCATTGGACTCTCAAAAGCTCTCCATCCATAACTTCCTTCCCTACTTTTTACTTTTCTATTGCCTCCCAGGTTACAGACTCTCTGCCCCCTTGCAGGAATGCTCATGCCTTTTCTTTCCTTCCCCCCTCTATCTTAATCCTTTCTTCCATTGTTTTTTACTTCAGCCCCTGAAGCAGATACAGCAGGAATGCACAACACTATATAAAGAGACAAGTGTTCTGGATATCTGACATTCTCCTTTAGCCTCACATTCCGTCCAGCCATCTATGCAAGAATCTAAGTGTCAATCAAATAAAAAAAATTAAAAATAATATAAGGTATGGCATCTGTCACAATCCAGGTAAGACTGGGGGAAGCATCTGGTGGGTATAAAAGAGAGACCTGCTTAGTCAAAGCTAGGTCTTCTGAATAAATTAAATGCTAGCATACACTTTGTGGGGGGGGGGGGGGGGGGGGAGTATTTTAAAAATTAAAAAAAAAAACATTCCAAAGACTCACCTAAGAAGTTAGGATACAGATGGTCAATATTATCCACAACATAGTTACACTTAGGACATCTATTATTATCCTCCAAACTCTGATGAATACACTTGTAGCTATTAGCAGAGAAAAACAATAAAATAGGTTTGATTAAGTCAGTGATAGATTAATAAACTGGTCACGAAATTTAATAATGCCTATTAGTCTTCTATTCCTCATTTTCAACTTAAGCAACCAAACACTTTATCCAATTTATTCCATCTTATATGTGTATCTCATAAAGAAGATACATAGAGCATTTAATAGACAATAGTATACAAAAGTTATTGAAAAATAAATTCAAATAATAAATCTACTGAATATAAAATTTAAAAAGATTATTATTAATTGCAAGTACAATATACCACTCCCAAACAAAATAACAAACAACAGGAGTTAAACATACACAGATTACATACCCATTAAGATGGCTACCATTTTTTTAAAAAAGGCAAACAACAAGTGTGGAAAAATTGGAACCCTTATGAACTGTTAGTGGGAATATAAAATGGTACTATAGCTATATATAGAAAAGTAGTATGGCTATTCCTCAAAAAAATATCCTAATATTATCTATGATCCAGCAATTCCATTTCTAGATATATAGTAACCAGAAGAACTAAAAGCAGTGTCTAAAAGAGATATTTATAAACCAATGTTCAAAGTAGCATTATTAACAACAGTTAAAAGATTAAAATAATCCAAGAGTCCACTGACAGACGAAGAGACAAAATATAATATATACCTGCAATGGGATATTATTCAGCCTTAAAAAAGAAATTCTGACATATGCTACAATATTAATGAAACTTGAGGACATTATGCTAAGTAAAATAAGCTAGTCACAAAAAAGACAAGTACTAATGACTGTACCTATATGAGGTCTAGAACAGTCAAATTTACAGAAATGCAAAGTTAAATGGCAATTGACAGAGGCTGGGGAAATGGAAAATGAGGAGTTAATAGGTACAGAGTTCCTGTATGTCTGCTTGTAGTTAAATGTTGATCTCAAGTGTACAGTGAGTTAATTGTGTTTTACTTTATCCACTGGCCTATCCAAGGCTCCTCTCTCACTGTGTTTTACTTTGTTATATTTCTTTTATTCCAAATTGAACATTTTTTTCTTCTTTTACACTTTGGCATCTCTGAAAATTGGGTTATGTGTTATAAATAATGGAATTAAATTTTTTTTTCTATTGGTTAATTAGCCATTGGATGTAGTAGCTGTTCTGCAGGGAAAAGTTCTGGATATTGAATGAACAACAAACAATGTGCACATATATTTAACATTACTGAACTTAAAAGTGGTTAAGATGGTAAATTTTATTATGTGTATTTACCACAACTAAATTTTACAAAATATACACATAATAATAATACTGATAAAATAATGATACTGATAAAGTGTTAAAAAACACAGAAGTTTTTAACCTTCTATACCCTTTTCCAATGTCCTTCTAGCCTGCTTTACTGGGCTTCATACCTATCTCCACAAATGAGTTAAAGATGCTTTGTCCCAATTACCCAGAACCACCACCCCAATTTCTAAAAGAGCAGTTAAAAGCTCTTTAACAATTAATAAACCCAGTTTTAAAATCCACCTGTAAAGCCTATGGTAAACCTAACTACTTCACAGATATTATGCACCAACCATATGCTTACTGCCTTGAGCCAAAGAACGTATAAAGACTAGTGGCCCAGTGCCCAAAATTCATGCACAGGGAGGAAGGGCAGGGGGGTGTCCCTCAGCCTGGCCTGCACCCACTCCAATCTAAAACATCCCTCTCACAATCCAGGACTGCTGGCTCCTAACCACTCACCTGCCTGCCTGCCTGACTGCCCCAAACCACTCCATCTGCCGGCCTGATCAACCCCAACTGCCCCCACTTCTGGCCTGACCATCCATAACTACCCGCCCCTGCCGAACTGATGGCCCCTAACTGCCCCTCCCACCAGCCTGCTGGCCACCAATTGCCACTCCCCCTCCTCTCCCCCCCCCCCCCGCCCCGTGCCATCCTGCTCGCTCCCGACTGCCCTTCCTGCCAGCCTGCCCCCCCCCACAACTGCCCCTCCCAGCCGGCCTGCTCACCCCCAATTGCCCCCCCCGCCCCCACCAGCCTGAGCATTCCCAACTGCTCCTCTCTGCTGGCCTGCTTCCCTCTAACCTCTCCGCCTCCCCCCCCCCAACCCCCCTCCCCCGCCTGCTTGCCCCCAACTGCCCTCCCTGCTAGCCTGATCACCTCTAACCTCCTCTGCATCAGCCCCACCACCATGGCTTTACCCTTTTATTAGTATAGATATATCAAAAAAATGATTACAAGATAATGAAAATTACTTTTAAAAAAACAAAACCTCTCACTATCTACATTTACACACAGATTTAAGAATGCCAAAAGGCAATTTTGCTAAGTAAAATCATCTTACCAAAAACTGTGGCCACATTTCGTCATGTATGCTTCCTCGATCATATCAAAGCAGATAGGGCTAAAAAGAAAATAGAAAATAATTGATATTTTTAAAGTGGAGTGATTTCAAATTAGAAAAGGCAAGCAACAATACAACAAAATCCTATTTCCATATACCGTACAACTAAGTCTCCAAACATCTTATCAATGAGAGATGAAATTTCTCTTGAGCTGAATAAACTTTATTTACAGGGCATTTGATTACAGGTCAAATGACAATTTGTTCAAGATAACACAAGCTCTAAAATAAATTAAATAAGTATATTAAAATGGCCCCAATAGTTTAACTCACATACAATTTTTAAAAGTGCAATGCAGTCAAAAGAGTCCTTAAGAAAGTTGTATCATTTTTTTTGGTCATCCGTACTCAAAAGCATCTACCCAGATCTACTAATCCAAATGTGCTTTTAGTTCCCTTCTCAAAAAAAACTCCTAATTTCCTGAATGATGAATTTACAATTCCAATTTCAATACCTTCTATTCCAGATAATGAAGATGGTAATGATAGTTAATACTCAAAAGAGCAAAAACTATATTCATTAAAACAATGACATGTATTAACTCACTTAATACTTTCAACAGCAGTGTTGGTAGGTACCAGATGTACATTCTTACTACATACACTTAGAAAACTGAGGCAGGGGATAAATGAAACAATTGCTTTCAGGCATTAGACACTACGCAGCACAGTATTGATATTTTTGATGGAAGATGAATAAATAAGGAGAACTATCCAGTTTTCTGTTTTCACAGAAGATTCACAGGCCCAAGGAAAGAGAACACAAGCATAGAACAAGTATCTTGCTGAGTCAAGAAAAGGATTCTTTGAGTCTAGGAAAGACAAAAGGGAAAGAATTTACAGGACAGGACAGACACCAGAGGAAGGAGCTACGAGGAGAAAGAATTCTACAACTCTATACAGGGTTCTCATCAAGTCCATTGCTGAATACTATTCATACATGTCTAGAGTAAAACTCTACAAGATAAGTTAAAAAAATAACCACAGAGCTCTGGCCAGTGTGACTCAATTGGCTGAGCATCATCCCATGCACTGAGAAGACACAGGTTCGATTTCCGATTCCCAGCAGGGAGCAAGCAGGAGGCAGACAATCGATGTTTCTTTCTCTCTCCCTCTCCCTTTATCTCCCTCTCTCTCTCTAAAATGAATAAATACATTAAAAAACACATTTATGCACATAAATACATACATACCTATGTATATACCCTGTTTCCCCGAAAATAAGACAGTGTCTTTATTAATTTTTGCTCCCAAAGATGTGCTAGGTCTTATTTTCAGGGGATGCCTTATTTTTCCATGCGCTAGGTCTTATTTTCGGAGAAAATAAGGGGAAACACGGTACATTTATCCCAGTTTAATGTGAATCTCAAAAATATTATGATGCCAAATTAAAGAAGCCAGAAACAAAAAGCAATGTATTGAATGACTAGATTATTTGGGCCTAGGATCGTATGTTCCAATTCTGAATTTGGGGACAAAGGGCCTCACCCCAAAGTACACAGACTAGGAAGAGAGAAGGATGGATTCCCAAAGATAAAATCAGAACTATGATAAACAGAAATCAGACCATCTTTTACAATCCACCTTTCACTCTACATAGAAATAGAGTCAAAAATCAGTTCATTAAATATAATCTTGAAAAATGAAAGGACAATTAGCTTATATATGAGAATATGTACAGAAAACATGTTACTCAATAAAAATATTGAGATAGTAGGCGCTATTTAAATAGAACTTGATAGATACATATATGAAGAAAGAAAGAGGGCAAAGAACAAGCAAGGTAAAAGGCAAAGATGGGGAAACAACACATGTTAAAAACAAGTCAAGAATAATTTTAATTTGTATAATACAAGTTTCTACAGGAAAAAGAAGCATGACTATTGCAGCCTTTCTCTCAAGCTAGATAAGCTTTGAGGATAAAGGATTGCAGGGTAAACTTATTTAAAATAGGAAGAAATAGCTTGGCTAGAGTGGCTCATATGTATGCAAGGAGAAAAAATGAGCAACAAGGTTTATACTTATTTTAACAATTCTTAGAAGGAATATGGTCACCTAAGAAATATTGATTGGTTCATTATTAAGAAAGGTTTGTAAAAGGAAAAGGTAATCTCTAATCAGCACATTCTTTGGTAATAAACTACTACTGTACAAGTACCTCCCTCTCAATTTACAGACCAGAATTCAAGTTACGAGTAGTCTTTTATATCCTGCTTCATGATCACCTCATTTTCTCTGCCATTTGATGCATCTAAATCTTATGTTGACACTGATGCTGATAAAAGAACCTTAATGAACTGCTATGACTTGACATCATCTTCTGCAGAGTATCTTTTATGATCATTGTCATCCAACCAGCACATGTATTATAAAGCAAAAGAACCAAGGTTTTTTTGTTTGTATGTTTGTTTTTAATAAACAAAATAAACTGACCAATAAATAGGACCAGAGACATGGAAGCATGGAACAGACTGATAGATCTCTGAGGAAAGGGTGAGTGCAGGAAGAGATTAACCAAAAAATTTATATACTTATATGCACAACCCATGGACAGACAATAGTGCAGTGATGGCCTAAGGTGGGGCAGGAGCTGGGTGGAGGGAGCAAAGACGGTGAGAAGTGGGGGACATTTGTAATACCCTCAACAATAAAATAATTTTTTGTTTTGTTTTTAATAATTGTACTGATCTTAGAGATAGGAGGGAGTGAGAGGGGGAAAAAGGAAGAGGGGGAAAGAGAGAGAAACATTGATGTGAGAGAAAAAACCTTGATAGGCTGCTTCCCACACAATCCCCTACCTGGGAACAAACCCACAACCTGGGCATGTGCCCCAACCCAAAACCTTTTGGTATATGGGAGCATGCTCCAACCAAATGAGCCACACTGGCCAGGGCCAAGTTTTGTTTTGCAGATACAAAGAAGTGCTTGACTGATGTTGCTATAACAACGACGTAATGAATTCTAGCTTATATCAGTAGTTGAATATGCTTTAACATCTCTTAAAAACACTTTGTAATTGTTGGGAAAACAGTAGCAAGTGTGGTCACAGGTTTCATCTTTAGTGCTAAGTGTGATTTATAGATAATGGCTGCCTAGTATGTAATGCAGTGAGATAATATCTGAATTTAGAAACATTTAATATCTAAGTGAAGTAATAATGCCAGGATATGACACAATTATGTGATTAAAAGTCTTTCTTTAGGATAGTCGAATATTAATAGTTTGACTTGAGAGGCAATGACATATTTAATAAATGGCAGATCTATTGAATGTAGATCCTTCCTACTTATCAGACAGACAGATGATTAGAATTAACCATCCCACAAGGGGCTATCTACTTGAAAACATTTATTTCTGCTGTAACTTAGAGAATAACTGGGCCTTAGAGAGGTAGAGAAGAGCATTTCAGATAGTTGAAAAGCTAATGCAGAGGCAGAAGTAATGTGAAAGAATAAAAGAAGTCATCTTTCAAATAACTTTAATTAAATGGATCATGTAAGAAAAATTTGAAAAATTGAAGTAACAAAGACTTCCTTGAATGTCAACAATTTTTCCAACTTCAAGCTAAAAACTACAAATTCTGTCTAAAATCAGTTAGAATGACCTACAATTTGATAATATATACTCTTGATCCTTTGTGTGAAAACTATAAATCCCTAAAATGTTCAATTGTTCAATTAAAAATAAACTTTAAAAAAAAAATGTAAGTCAAGAGAGGCCAATATGAATTACTGAAAATTAGGCATTTGACTTTAAATCAATTATTCTCAAGAAGATGACGACATGTCATTATCACCAGTGGAGCTTTTGCAAACTAGATTGCCCACTCCAGCCTCCAATTCTGGTAAATCCTCTCAGGAGGCAAGGGGAGGAAGGAGTTAGGGGTTAAAAACATTTATCTCATGTGATTATAGAATAGTTGTTTCCCTTCAACCTACCACATTTAAACCACTAGGCTAAACACATGTACTCAAACCTAAGATATGTAATCTAATTCCATACAAAGAAAGCACGAGGTTGAAAATTAGGAGATCTGAGTTCTGATTTTGTCCCTTAGTCATCCAATTAGAAACATTACTTAAATTCTTTGTACCTCAATTGAAATATAATTATACTAGAGGCCCAGTGCACAAAATTCGTGCCTGGAGGTAGGGGGTGTCTCTCAGCCCTGCCTACATAGTCTCCAATCTGGGACCTCTTGGGGGATGTCCGACTACCGGTTTAGGCCCTATCGTAAACTGGAAGTCAGATATCCCTCTTGCAATGCACGACCATTGGCTCCTAATCATTCACCTGCCTGCCTGCCTAATGCCCCCAATAGCCCTCCCTGCCGGCCTGATCACCCCCCAAATGCCCTCCCTTGCCAACCTGGTAGCCCCCAACTGCCCTCTCCTGCCAGCCTTATCATCCATAACTCCCTGCCAGCCTGATCTTGCCCCTAATTGCTCTCCCCTGCCAGCCTGATCACCTCTAAATGCCTCTGCCTCGGCCCCCACCACCATGGCTATGTCTGGAAGATGGTCGGTCAACTGGTCTAATTAGCATATTATCCTTTTATTAATACATAGGATAGGATTGCTTAAATGGGGGGAGAAAACCTTTTTTCAGCAGGAGGAGATGCTCTTGGCAGACAAAAATACATAATCCTTATTTTGGACTGATAGCCAGCCATACTGCCAAACCGGTTATTAAAAAATCAAATACTTTCTTACACCTTACACCAAACAGCTGTTGGTATAAGGTGTAAGAAAAACCCCTTCTCAGTCCTACCGGTTTGGCTCAGTGGATAGAGTGTCAGCCTGCGGACTCAAGGGTCCCAGGTTCAATTCCAGTCAAGGCCATGTGCCTTGGTTGCAGGCACATCCCCAGTAGGGGTGTGAAGGAGGCAGCTGACTGATGTTTCTCTCTCATCAATCTTTCTAACTCTCTCTCCCTCACCCTTCCTTTCTGTAAAAAATCAATAAAATATATATATATTTTTAAAAACCCTGGCTGGCTTGGCTCAGTGGCTTAGTGGTGTGCAAGAGGCATCCAATCAATGTTTCTTTATCATCAATGTTTTTATCTGTCTCTTCCCTCTCTTCCTCTCTCTGCAAAATCAAAAACATAAATAAATCCTTCAATCAATCAATAAGACAACTGAACCCTGCAAACTCTCACTTTGTTTCATTAGCTTTTACTTTTTCATATGATGCTCTCTACTGAGTGTGGGCACAAACACCTCTTAGACCCAATAATAAGCAACTTCAGTTATTTATAAGTGACAATCACATTTATAGCCCAATTTCAATTAAAAATGAATTAATTCTGAATCCAGACGTATTTAAGACAAAAGTAAAAATAAACAGACATTATTAACTGCAAAAATTAGACATTATAAGACTAAATAACTTCCTATTATATTTATTATAACTGGCCCTTGAATAACACAGAGACTAGAGGCATTGACTCCACAATTGAAAATACACTTATAACTTCTGACTTTACAGTTGGCCCTTCGAATGGTGGATTCAACCAATTGGGGGATGGAAAACATTATTTTCTATCTGAGATTAAGTATATGAAAATACTATTTTTGTTCAGTGTTGGTTAAATTCATAAATGCAAAACCATGGATACAAGGGCCAACTGTATTTATTTTTAAAAATCCTGGTATGGCCGAAACCGGTTTGGCTCAATGGATAGAGCCTCGGCTTGGGGACTGAAGGGGACGGTCAAGGGCATGTACCTTGGTTGCGGGCATATCCCCAGTAGGGGGTGTGCAAGAGGCAGCTGATCGATGACTCTCTCTCATCCATGTTTCTAACTCTCTCTCTCTCTCCCTTCCTCTCTGTACAAAATCAATAAAATATATTAAAAATCCAGGTATGGCCCTAACTGGTTTGGCTTAGTTGATAGAGCATTGACCTGCCAGTCCCGGGTTCGATTCTGGTCAAAAGCATGTACCTTGGTTGGGGGCATACGCCCAGTAGGGAGTGTGCAGGAGGCGGCTGATCAATGTTTCTCTCTCATTGATGTTTCTCTCTATCCCTCTTCCTTCTTCTCTGTAAGAAATCAATAAAATATATTTTTAAAAATCCAGGTATAAATGGACTAGGCACTTCAAACCCCTGTGATTCAATGGTCAACTGTAATGACACCAATTCAGATCATTTTAGACCCTGAAGTGAATCAACTTCCCCTATGAGAGTGCAAGCCAACTTCCTATATTACTAATATTCTAAGTCTATATACAATTTTCTCCAGAGAACAAGCACAAAATCCTACCAGTTCTCACTCAGCTAAATGCAATTCCTTCTTCACAATTCTACCATTTAGACTGCATTTCGGATACAAATCCAATGCAAATCCCAAAACACTCTCAACAATACAATCAACTAAATCTTTCACTTATTACAGCTAACTTTACCCTCTATGCCAAATATCACAACTAAACACGATGGTGTTTCATTCATGATGCAAACTATGATGGCAAAATGTCTAATAACTAGTGTCTCTCAAAGCAGAAGTTCCAGTTCGCTCTAATAAAATATATTACTCCAGTTACATCTGATACATGAATGAGATTTAGTAAATGTGGTTCCCCTCATGCAAGACATTCAGTTGAGAGGTGAAATTTTTTTTTTTTTTTAAACAGACTTTCTTGATGACAGCAGCCTCTACAGCAGATTTAAAGGGGCCCGCCCTTGGAAATAGAATGGATATTTACATGAAATACTACTTCTCCTTAAAACATCCATACCTATGCTTAGAGCACCATCTACCACAGTCTCAATAAGCAAACTCTGGCCAACAGTTCCACCCCTCGAGCAACCCAGGAAGCTTAACCCTCTTCCATTACAAATTTAATCCACTTCGACAAGCAATCGGACTGATAGGATGCCTCATTCACCAGGCAGCCAGCAAACTCAAGGCCCACCTCCCTGCCCAGCTTTTTTCTTTTATGCACATCCATTTATTTGACTGCCCACCTCCAAGCCCCCTCCCGTTATTTCTTATTCCAAAAACTCCCTTCATTTATACCCCCCTCCCTCCCCACCAGCACTTACCTCGTTAGCACAGCAACCTGCTCGGGTCCCCAAAATCCCCCCATCTTAACCCCAACTACCAGCTCGAATCCCTAGGCAGCACCGAACAGCCGCCTCACCCGGACCCACCAGCCCGAACAGCAGCTCAGACTTGAGCGACAAGGGGGCCGCTCTTCACACCCACCAGACAAAGTCGTTGCTTTTGTCCTCGTAGGAGTTGATGAGCCCGTTGCAGAGGGGGGCGAGCAGAGGTCGCTTTCTGCTGCCGCTGCCGAGGCCAGAGCTGCCCCCTCCTCCGCCGGCGCTGGGCCGGGCCGCGCAGCTGAGCCGGGACAGGCCCGCGGACACCACCCCGCCGCCGCCGCCGCCGCCGCTGCCGGACACGGCGGCCGCCACCAGCACAGGCCGCCCCGGGCCCCCGAGGCCGCCGGAGCCCGCGGCCTGGGCTGCCCCTCCGGACCCCAGCGCCGCCGCCGATCCCGCCAAGGAAGGGGGCGACGGGGAAGAGGATAAGGACGAGGAGGCGGAAGTCACCGAAGAGGCCGCCGAGGAGCCGGGGCTGGTCCCGGCGGAGCCCGACCCGGCCTGGCGGCTCCCGGACATCGTGACTCCCTCCCCTCCGGCCGGGCTCTCGGAGGAGAGGGACCCGCCGCCGCCCCTACCCTACGCCTCAGTGCATCCTGAGGATGCGCTCCGCGCCGGGAGGTGGGGCCGAGGAACAATAAAGTTGATTTTTTTTTTTTTTTAAGGCGACCACACAACAGCGTCCAACGGGAGGGGGCGGAGGAAACGAATCACGCAGAGTGAAAACCACTACCGCCCTCCAGGCCGCCGCCGCCGCCGCCCCTCCGCCGCCGCAGCCAACCGGGGCGCGCCGAGGGCCGGCCGTGCGCGTGCGTGAGCGGCGGAAGGGGCGGGAGCGGCGGGGGAATACGACTTCAGACGCCGACCGGTTGGTGATCAGAGACGCACGGCTCGCCTCCGGTGACGGCGGTGGCCTAGTAACGACAGCATCTGTTTACGAGAGCTGTTTTCGTTCGTGACGTACCGGAGGGCAGGCCTTCTTAATGGATGACAAGGCGGAGGATGGCGGAATGAATAGTCAGGGTGGCGGACTAACGGCGGGGGGGGGGGGGGGAGAAGGAGAGAACTTGCTCAAAAAGCGACTGCGCACGCGCGCCCTACGTTACCCAGGGTCCCCTAGCGGCGCCGGCGCGCAGTCGCCTAACCACGCATGCGTGCGGGAGAGCCGCATTCCTGAATGGCGAGAGGGAGCGGTGGCCCTCGCCCGGCGGCCTAACGCCATGGCGAAGGCACGACAGGTGTCTCCGAGTAGGGAATTGCAGGCCCTGTAGACTGGGACACACAGAAAGGACCCCGAAGCTCCTTTCCGAGCAGTCGAAAGCACTGGCCCGTGAGACAGGGACTCCAAGTTCTGTTTGAAGCCATTCCACAGTTTCCTGAGGAATAAATTAAGATGAAGTCAGACAACAACGCTTTGTAAGTGGAAAACGTGGTAGCAGACGTTACCAGTTTTATGCATTCGACCTTCCCTTCACTTGCATTTTGAGAAGTTATTGACCAAGTGAAGCATATGGAAAGCAAATTATACTTAATCAGAACACGGCTGAGTCAGAACCCCAATTTAATGTGGAACTGATACAGTTCTAGCACAAAACAAGTAAATCTGGCATTTTAAGCCACCAGAAAGTTTCTGATGTGCTTTTTGGAATAGTAAGAATTGATTACAAAAAAAAAAAAAAAATTGCAGATTTTCATTTGCCTTTTTGAGAATCCCTAAGAATCTCGGGGATGTAAATTAGAAACAAACGAACTGGTTGATTTCTGGTACTCTTTCTAACTCTATGATTCTTAGAGGGAACGTTCCCTGACTTAATTTGCAAAAGTTTTTAAGACTAGGGACAGCGAGGACCTTTCCCTAGAAACATCTATGCCTGCTGAGGGAGCAGGTCTAGGGAAGGGCCTACATGAAGGCCCAGCAACAAGACCTAGCCATTCTCCTGGGCAGTGAGCCATGGTAAGGTTGCCATCCTCCTCAACTCTGTCTTAGCTGCGCACCCTCTGTGCCCAGCTCAGGTTCTTCCTCAGCAAAATAATATAGGAATGGCCTTATCAGATTTCCAAGACCCACTCTTTGTGTATGAATGCTGCATTATTCAACCCATGTTTATAATCACTTTCAAGACCCACCTGAAAATATAAAAATAAAAAAAAATAAAAATGCCACAAAGCCGAGACCGGTTTGGCTCAATGGATAGAGCGTCGGCTTGGGGACTAAAGAGACCCGGGTTCGATTCCAGTCAAGGGCATGTACCTTGGTTGCGGGCATATCCCCAGTGGGGGGTGTGCAGGAGGCAGCTGATCAATGACTCTCTCTCATCGATGTTTCTAACTATCTCTCTCCCTTCCTCTCTGTACAAAATCAATAAAATATATATTTTTTAAATGCCACAAAAACCACACCAAAAATAAAACAAGCACAAAATAAAAAACGCAAAACAAGACCCATTTCACAAAAAAATGAGTCTCACTGACTCCTTGGCAGAGATAGTTTCACCTTCATATGTACTCCTAAGAATTTTTTGTTTGCACTTAACATTGCATTTTAGTGGTTTATACATGATTCTCTACCACCACAAGCCTATCAGCTTTAACTTTGTATTTTCAGCATATAGCACAATACCTGGCCTATGATTGATGCTTATCAAAATTTCTTGACCAACAAATTAAAGCAGTTGATCATTTTAATTATTTGCTGAACGTGTGCCTTTACAACTAAATTGTAAGCTCTTTGAAAGACAGGACCAATTTTTTGATGGAGTGCATAAATAAATGAAGTATATAAAACATTGCTCCTACATTCAGGAAGTTTATGAAATAATTGAAGGATTAGAAAAATATGTGAGAAAAAATAAGTAATAGTACCAAGGAGCACATACAAAGTGTTTAATGGAGAACGCAGAGAATCACAAAAGGGTCTCAAGCAACAAGTGCTGAGGGCCAGCCATGCTAAGGGTGGGAGAGAGGGGACAATTTGGTCTGGTTGATCAGAGTTCAGAAAATAAATAAGTAAAAATACCGACATGAAGTTCAGCTGTCTAATTGATAGGGATAAAGAGTTTATTCAGGAAAAAAAATCATTTGTGGGGCAGATTATAAACAGCCTTGAAGTCACTTTGGAAAATAGCGTGTAAGCAATTGGGAACAATGAAGACCTTAAGTGGGGATAAACTATATTCAATGTGTTATTTTGAAGATTAAGTTTTCAGTAGATTAATCTTCAAGAGAGATGGGAGTTTAGGGGCAAAGGGACTAATTTAGGAAAAAATTATAGCAGTCCAAGCATAAGTGGTGAGATTTTAGGTTAGAATGTTGACAAGGAAATAAGGGAATAGCCTGAGAAAAACAAAAGACTATAGGAGTAAGTTGCTCTCTGAAAGAATTGTGACAGTCCTTGAGGACATGACCCATGTCTGTGTTCACTGTCTTTCCCAGTGCTTGGCACAAAGGCCAACAAACTGATTAAGTAAAACTGATGGAATGCAAAGAGGAGTGATTCCAAAAATCAGGGATACTAGCATAAGGACAGAATTGGAAACAGCCAATGGGTGGTTTAGTTTTGGATGTGTTGTGTGAGTGTGGGATGAAAATACATTCAAGTGAGCATATCCAGGCAGTGATTGAGAATTCAGGTGAAAGCACAGGAAAAGTTCAGCACAAAAGAGAAATAAAACTGCAAATTCCTGAGCTCTGGCTCCAAATTCTGACTCTTCAGATCTGGTGTTAGGGCTATGAATATGCATTCTTACCAGCACCCAAGTGAATCTGATGCAGGTGACCCTTTGAGAAACACTGTGATTGACATTGTAGGTAATGTAAGAGAAATATATAAAATAGTCTCTTCCTTTTAGATTGCTTTATTCAGAGGACAGAAAGAAATATGGCCCTAATTCTTTTGTCTCCGTGAATAGAGCTTCAGTCCGCCTGCGGACTGAAGGAACCCAGCTTGATTCTGGTCAAGAGCATGTACCTTGGTTTTGGGCACATCCCCGGTAGGGAGTGTGTAGGTGGTAGCTGAATCGATATTTCTCTCTCATTGATATTTCTAACTCTCTATCCCTCTCCCTTTCCATTCCTCTCTATAAAAAAACAATAAAATACATTTTTTTAAAAAAAGGAAAGAAAGTAATATAACTCCAGCTTAGAAAAAAAATTGTCAGTGCTTAGTATTACCACTTTTGTAAAACTTTGGTAAATACCAGATAAACGTATAAAGACTAATCTGAAAGAACACAGTCCTTATTTTTATAGGCAAGAACTGGGGAAGCAGAGAAAAGAGGAAGCTTGGCAAACACTAAAAGGAAGTCAGACAATTCAGAAGAAGTAGCAAATAGAAGGGAAGAAAACATTAATGAAAAATGAAAGTAAATGTAATATAAAAATTAAGTTCTAATAATTAGAAGAATTCCATTATATTGTTAAATACATGAATCCTTTGAGTGACAAAAATGACAAGACAAAATCCAAAGTGCTCCACAAAAACATTGCTACTAAAATAAAATCTAATCAAGTTAAGATGAAATGGAACTACCTAGAGAATTGAACTTTCCAGACATATTTCTAAGGTGTCTTATCCAAACATAATATTTTAGGGAAATGGGGCTGCTAGTTTTCATCTCCAGCTAACCCTGCCCTTTGGTAACCAATCTCCCAAAAAAGATCCTCCCTAAAAACTATTTACCTGACTCACCTGAAGGGTTTGCTACTTGTTAGCCCTGTTTGCTGATTAACCAAATCTCTCATCAAATTTCTCAGTAATTAATAGGTTCTTGTTTTTGTTTTGTTTTGTTTTTAATTTAATATGTTTGCCTTGTGGGGGGAAAAAAGGAGGAGGGGGGTAACCCAAATTGAGAAGAGAAAGGAGAAAAAAATTTTTGTCAGTGTGAAAGAAAGAAAAAAGTTTCTGTAACCAGATAGCATAATAAGGCATCCAGCAGAAAATTATCCATAATCTGTAGGTAAAATGAAAAGCTCCAACTTGCACATTAAAACTGGAGGTAGACACCTATGGAGAACTATAATTTCTTAGAGTTATTATTTGAGGACAATCTCTTTTTTTATTATTTACATATTTTATTGATTTTACACAGAGAGGAATTGAGAGGGACAGAGTGTTAGAAACATCAATGAGAGAGAATCATCGATCAGCTGCCTCTTGCACACCCCCTACTGGAGATGTGCCCGTAACCAAGGTACATGCCCCTGACCGGAATTGAACCCAGGACCTTTCAGTCTGCAGGCCAACGCTCTATCCACTGAGCCAAACCGGTCCCGGCGATCTTTTCCAAAAATGTCTCTGACAATGTTTTCATTGTTAGATTTGCATCATTAGCCTTTATTCCTCTCCCAGTCTTCCTGTGTAAAATTACAAGCACTTTTTTAGAAAAGGTAAATTAATAACACTAATAACTTGGCAAGTCAGTCATCATATTAAAAGAAGTTAATTTCTTTTATTAAATCATGTCTTTTGCAAGTTACTGCTAAGTAATTTTAGCCAAGGTAGTTGCAAAATATGGCCTAGG